ATATAAATAATAAAGTTTATAATTTGATAACAATATTTTTAAAAGGTTAATAAAACAATATGTATCATTTTATTATTTAAAAAAGAAATGCCAAAATTTGGATCAAAGATTAAAATCATTGTATTTGAAAAAATAAGTAGCCTAAAAATTAATTTTTGAATATTTAATATTTAATTTTTCAAGTGACTATTTGATAAAATAAAATATTTTAGGATATATTAAATACCAATTTAGAAATTCATTTTTCTATCTTATTAATCTGGATCACATTGCTTTATACAAATAAATTGATACAAAAAATTAAGAGTAAAATGTTATAAAAAGAAAGTTATTCTCTAAATAAATAATTGATAGTAAGTCTATTATTTTAGTAATAGATCAATATAAAGTTTAATGAATAATTGAATTTATTTTATTATTTTTGTTTATTCATAGAAATATTAATTGATAATTTTTAAATAATAAATGCAAGAAGAGGAAATATAAAAAAAAGTAAGATTTGAAGATGATGAAGAAGAGAGGAGAGGTGAATAGGAAATAAATAGGAATCCAAATAATTAGAAATGTCCAATAATAGGTGTGAATGATCAATTTTTGGATCCATGTATAAAATGTAAAATATGAAAGATGCGGTTAAAACATCATTAAAAGAGGAGGAAGCATTAGAATAAGAGAATGAGATAGTTTAATTTACAATGTCTGAAGGAATGACAGCTGAAGAATTGATATAAAATTTAGAGATTAGATTATAACCAGAGAGAGATCCAATTAAGAAAAATAAATGTATAAAAAGGATAATTAATTTATTAGTTGTTCCAGCTGTTTTATCCGTAAAGACTAAAAAAGTTTCGAATAAATTAGATAGACCTCCTATAGATTTAGTTTGTGTAGTTGATGTAAGTGGTAGTATGATTGGAAGAAAAATAAATCTTGTAAAGGATTCTTTGAGATATTTAATGAAAATATTAGGTCCAGAGGATAGAATCTGCATTATTGTGTTTACTACTGTAGCTCACATAGTTACATCATTTGTAAGGAATACATAAGAAAATAAACCATTATTAAAAAAAGCCATACTTGAATTAAAAGGATTGGCATCTACAAATATAAGTGATGGAATGAATAAGGCTTTATGGATGTTAAAAAATAGAAAATATAAGAATCCTGTTTCATGCATTTTTTTATTATCTGATGGTTAAGATGATTATAAAGGTGCTGAATAAAGAGTTTATGATTAATTAGAATTATTGAAAATAGAAGAGAAATTTGTAATACATACATTTGGTTATGGATAAGATCACGATGCTTATGTAATGAATTAAATAGCAAAATATAGAGAAGGAAACTTTTATTATATTGATAATATAAATAAAGTAAATATGATTAATAATTTGATTAGGCTAGTGATTATTTTATACTTGCAATGAGTGGAATGTTATCTATTTATGCCTAGAATGTCAACATTAATTTATAATCCAAGGATTGTGAAATAGTTAAAGCATTTGGTGAAGGTCAAGTTTGGTATAAATAAGACTAAAACAATTATAAAATCCAATTAAATTATTTATTAGAAGGAGAAAGTAAGGATTTTGTGTTTGAATTATTTGTAAAAGATGTTTACAATTAAAATAATATTAATTTGATTATTGAAATAAATGGATAATTACTAAAATAGAATTAGTAATTTAAGAAAGATTAAAATTTTGAAATAAAAGTATCATCAGATATAGAAGGTCAGTTAAATGATCATGTTGAAATTAATTATTAAAGAGCAAAAGCAGGACATGCTATAGGAGATGCATGTCATTTAGCCTAATAAAAGTAATATTAGTAGGCTTAAGAATTAATAGAATTATAAATTTAATAAATAAAATAATCTCCATAAATAGAGAGCGTTGGATTGAAAATAGCATTAGAGGATTTAGAAAAATGTAAGATGTATTGTAAACCAAAAATATTTGAAATGGAAGGAGAGGCATTTTTAATGAAAAAAGAAAGGAATCATATTGTTAGATAATCATCATTAAGTAATATATTGATTGAATATAAGCTAATTTATGTGATTGGAACGATGATTAATAATAAAATATGGAACATTTATAGAATGGTGATTTATAATTAAGTGCAGCTGGAAGTATAAAAGGTTCAGATTCAGAGGTTTCATCTTAACCAGACTTTTAAAGAGACATAGATTTTGATAATTTTGATCCAAAATAAATAATTAAATAGTTATTGAGAATGAAATAATTTAAAAAAGAATAATTAGAAGAGGAAGATGATGAAGATGATGATAAGAAAATAGAATTATTATAAGAACAATTAAAATAAGATTAAGAATAATAGATTGAATAAGAAGATATAAATGAAAGTAAATGAATTAAGTATGATATAACATATAAAATATAAAAATGTCTGATTAATTAAAAGAATATAAAGTTTGTTGGAAATAAGTAGTAGATGCAGCAGAGAAGGAATTAGATTAGATTTATGCATAATTTATAGAGAGTGAGTATGCATTGTAAAAGGAGAATGAATAGAATGAGAATGAATAGGAGTATTATGATATATAATATATATTAGAAAAGGAATAAAAATGAATTAGAATGAAAATGAAGCATGTATATAGAATAGTAATAGTGATTTAGAAGAGGATTAATAAGAATAGATTGGACAACAATCAAATATAGCAACATCAACAACAAAAGAAGATTTTGTTGTGAATTAAGAGATTAAAAGAGAATTAATAAGAGAAGTACCATTTAAAGATGAGATTCTATATATATATAGAATAAATTATTAGAATGGAGATATATATGAAGGAGAATTATTAAATGATTTAAAAGATGGATCAGGTACTTATTATTATGAAAATGGTGAAAAATATGATGGATTATTTTCAGAAGATCTTATTCATGGATATGGAAAATATTTCTTTATTGGAGGTCATAAATATGAAGGTGATTGGTATTAGGGTGAGAAATCTGGAATGGGTATTTTAGATTTTAGTACAGGAGATAGATATATAGGAGAATTTTACAAAGATGCATTTGATGGTAATGGTACTTTAGAATATAAAAATGGAGATGTATTTTAAGGTAAATGGAAGAAAGGAAAAAGAAATGGTCATGGAGAAATGAGATATAAAGATAAAAGAATTGTAATTGGTGAATGGATAGATGATGAATTATAACCATTTTGATATTATTTACTATCAATTTAAATTTAAAAGAATGATGATATACATATTATGTTTTCATCCTCTTTTTTTTACTTCTAAAATTAGTTCATCGTTTAATTCATATGTTTCAGATTTAATCTTTCTATGAAGTAAATGTTGATTATCTATTCTCTTATTATTTACTTATTTAATCTAATCATTTATATATATATAATTATTACTGTTGCAACACAATGAAGTAGATTTAAAGATGAAAGTAATTCCTAAGTTCCAAATGCTAATGGTGTAAAATTATCCATATTTAATATATTAAGATTGCCATTTCTGTTTATGAATTCTATTATTATCTATTAATTCCCTGAATAAAAAGCCATATGAACAGGAGTATTTCCATTTGAACATATTTAATTTACATCTGCTCCTATTTTTAATAAAAACTTTGTCATTTATTCATCTCCATATTTGGCACTATAATATAAAGGAGTGTTTCCATTTTAATCATATAATTCTGTATCTGCTTTTGTATAATGGAATCCTGCTGCTTCTGCTATTGCAATATTTTTCATTTTTGCTGCTTAAATTAACTTTCTATTCTTTATTTTGGCTTCACTATCTAATCTAGATCTAACAAATTTATTAAGTAATTTTTATCTCTATTTTTCATTTGTTTCTCTCTTCTATAAATCACTCTACTATTTTATTATTAAATACTTATTTAACAATACGACTACTTGCTAATGAGATCTCTGTAGTTTTATGTCTGCTCATTCTATTCATTTATGGAGAATTTGGAGTTGATCCAGCCATAAATACTACTTTATCCATTTGCAATTTTGGAGGAGAATGTTGAGTTAAATCTTTTAACCTTTCATTTTATTAATTATTCAATTCTTTATGCAATTCTTCAAAAAATCGTTTAGCTCTCATACACCTTTATATTCTCTGTTCTATATCTATGCTTTTTAATTATTCTTTCTTTTCTAGTACCTTAAAAAACTTCTTTTTATATAAATGTCTCTTTATTGCCATTTTTATTTTATTCGCAGCTTGAATTTCTATTTCTTCAGTTATCCATTATTATTATGATGGTAAATCAACTTCTTAATGATCATTTAATTCTTTTAATCTTTAACTCTAAAACTATCTACAAGTTTATGGCCCTCCACTATAAAATTACATAAATTCATTCTAACTAATATTATAATTTCTAATTCCTAATCTATAACTTTTGCTCCATTTAACTATTTTTTCCTTCTAATATTACTGAAATTTCTCTTCAGGATCAACAGTTAACAATTTTGATGGTGGGTGAAATATATGTTTTACTTGTTCTAATTATAATTCATCTTGACCTTTTACAAATAATGGTTTAAATGTTTATTTTGAAGTATTTCTTTCTAAAAAGTTTTATTGTTTTATTTTCTCAGTTCCTTTTCTCTTTATTAATAATTATTTATACTTCTCTATATCTTCTAACTATACCAAGCATAATCTCCTTAAATTTTTAAACATATATATTTGCTAATGGATTCCCTGAATTTTTAAGCTTTCTTAATTAGCTCTATTTCTTTTAATCAAATGCATCCTTTAAAAACCTTTTTTTCTGGGCTTCTTTCAAATATTATACAAACTTTCCTTTTATCACTCTTATTTAAAGAGAATCCTTTGAAAAATGTTATTTTCTCTCATAATTTTTAGTATTCTCACCTTTATATTATAGATATTATTTTACTTATTTATTTTCTTTTCTTTTTATTTAATTCTTCAAAATATTTATTTCTTATTGTTACTTAGTTTTCTTTTATGAAATAAAAATTTTGAAGTATTTATTCTGATATATTCAACTCTATTTAATGTTTAACCTTATATATTAAATATAATTATTACACTATCTTCTAAACAATTAATAGCTCTTTAAATAAAATCTCTATCTATACATTTATTAATTAAAAAACTAGTTGAAGCTATATATTATAGTTCTTATTCTGTGATATAATTCCCTGTTTATTGACATTTATTTAATATTTAATCTCGCTTTTAGGAATGAATTCCATTAGCTAATTATTTTTTAATTGTTTCATAACCCATTAAATGTATATTTTTACCTGTGCTTATATAACCATCTTCTATTGCTTTATTCCATTCAAAAAATATCTCTGGTGGAGAATATTAAAGTTAAGGAACATTTAAAATAAGTTTTTTATCATTGTTTATTTAGATTCTAGAAGTATATTAAGTAGATTATTCTTTACTATCAATATTATTTATAGTATTAATAAAACTTACTTATTGAGAATTTATTTTAGATTTAGATGATAGAAAATTATTTACTTTTCTAAAATTGTTTGATGTTTAAATCAAATCAACCAATGCAAATTTTAATCTTTTCAAAATGGATTTGTATTATGATTTCACTTGTAACCAACCATATAAATCTAAATTATCATCCTTTTTTTTTAGATGTCCTCCTTCAGTATTAGAGTGTGTATTATACTTTGAGAGTATGTCTATTTAAAATCAAGAAATACTATCAAATTATTAGGAAATCTAATTAACACAGCATTTGATAATATAATCTTATTTATCAACTATTTTTGATAATTTTCTTAATTCATTAAAATCAATCCCTGACTCCTAACATATTGCTTAATATTTTAATTTTAATGGTTTAGGTTTAGTTGATTTTTTAATGAGCTTCTCAAATAAAAAGCATAAATCTTCAATTTTATTTTACCTTACTTAAATAGTGTTTCTTCTTTTAATTTATCTAAAAGAGTTTTGTTTTTCAATTATAGCAAATCGTTGTTCAATTTGTTCTTATGACATAAGGTTATTAAATTCTTTATTATCATTATCTGTATAATGTCTAGCAGAAAAACAATGGGTTTTCATGTTCTAAATATAAAAATAATATTAGTAATAACTGATATAAACATAATGCAAATGATATTAAATAAATTAATGTTTAATAATATATTACCAAAACACAAATAAAATAAAGATAAATTATCAAATATGGGATTCTTTGGATAAGATTGCAATATTTAATAGAGTAATTAAATAAAAAAATTAAAAATATATGTAAAATGCATGTTAAATTAAGAATTATTAGTTATGAAACCACATAAAATAGGTAATGTAGAAAAATCTAAAAATAGATTAGTAAATTCCAGATGTAAAAATTGAATATTGCATATATATAGATAGAAAGTAAAAATGTTGATAATAAAAAAGATATTTGATGGAAATTTAAGCATTATAAGTTAATTTTAATACAGAGGAAGATATTGTATAATTAATAGCAGTTTGTTCATTTGGAATAAAAATACCAAAAGATTAAGATTTTTATTTCTTTTTTGAATGTTTTGATTTACTCAATCAAAGTCAGAAAAAATTTCGTTAGTTTATTAATACAAAATCATAAAAACAAATAAAAAGATTGTTGATTTGTTCAATAATTATGAAATTCTAAAAAATGATTGATATAATTATTGGATTATATGTGGAAATGAATTTTTATATTTTGATGTAATTGGCATTAATTACAATCCAATATGAATGTTTGGAATATTCGCAATACTTTTATTCGTATTTTTTGGATAAATAATAGTTTATTGATTTAATACTTTTAATTCTAAGCTGGCATATATTAAAAGCAGATAACTCATCCTTAATTTTAGAAAATAATAATGAATTCTGCTTAAGTGTAAATATAATAGATTAAAGAAGATATACTTTTAATTACTTGGGGCTAGAAATAATTACAAATAGGAACTTTATTCTTTAAATGTATGTATAAAAAAATAGAGAATCGAAAGAAACCTTATTTATAACCACTATAAAAATTTTAATTTTATAAGACACTAAGAAAAAGAACAGGTAATTGTGAAAATACGGATTATCCTCATTATTATTAATTGTTAGATGAAGCTTAAGGAAAATAGTATTTAGCAGCTTATCAAGAATCTCCTCATAGTGAAATATTGATATTTGAAAAAAATGTAAATATTGTAATTATAATTTTATTAGTAATTATAATATATTAAATATTCAGAAGAATATGTTGGAGTAATTGAAAGAAATTTTTGGGGAACATAATTTCATATTTATGATTATGGATACCCTAAAGAAGTAAGTGGGAAGATTCCAAAATATTTTGGATAAGAAAGAAGAGAATTGATTGTTATTCAATATTAAACCAATATTATGGCAATATAACCAAGGTACTTTTTAATATTTAATTAGAAAATTTACTGCAAATATGTTAAATTTAATAGAAAATTAAATTATATAATTAGTTTAAATGAATGCAATTTATAATGAAGATAAATAATGTTATCAATTAAAATTCTTTGGAACAGCTAAAAGAGCATCAGCTAAAAACTTCGAAATAATAGATCTTTAAGATAAAAATATTATTTATTTATTACATAGGAAAGTAAAACTTTATATATAAATAATTTAAGTTGGAGAAAAATCTTTTTAATTTAGATTATAAGTATCCTATCAGTATGCTTTAAGCATTTTGTTTTTCTTTAAGTTCAATAAGTAAGAAATTCTTAGTTTAATGATATTTTTAGATATATTTATAAATTATATAAAATAGAAATATATAAAGATTACATTTTTAATTAATTAAGTTCAGCCCAGAATTGATGCCTCTTAGACTTCCAATTATTTATTTACATTTTTTTATACTTTCAAAATTTGATTTATGGTCTAAAATTGATATTTATTTATTTAATTACTTTTCTACATAGATAACACTCATTAGATTTTTATATAACATCTTCAGCACATTATTGACAGATTCCTCCATGACGACATGGAACAAATACAATATTTGGAATATTTTCATAACAAACAAGACATTTGTCTTAATTAGTACTAGATTCTCCATCAGATTTAATAGATTTAATTGATTTAATTGGTTCCTCTTCTTATTCTTATTTAGAAACAGTTACTGGGATTTCTTCTCTTTTAATTTTAACTAAGATTAATTAATAGATTAAAATACTATTATCAGTAATAGCAGGTTTTTATATATCTAAATCAATTTCATCTTTTTTTTTATTAATAATCATAGAATTACTAGCAATAGGTTTTTATAGTATTTTTTTTTAAGTTTCTCTCATAGTAGAACCTTATATATTTGATCTTCCTGACTCTAATTCTTGATGAAAATTTTATTTTTTTTTGAATTCGAAAGAGGCTTTATCAAGTACAGCAAAATAAGTACAAGATAATTTAATTAAATATAATGGTATTCCTAATTTAACAAATTATAGTTTTTTTTATTAATGTGGAGAATTAAGTTATCTAGAATTAGGAGATTATATTGTTTATTATTAATCATTTTCTATTTAATCAGAGATTCCTTAAACATCTTTTAAATATGCTCTAAAATACTAAAAATAAGAGTTACTTAATTTATTTATAGAAACATAGAGTGAAAATGAGAAGAAATAATGAAAATAAAGTTATAATAACAATATATTAAGCAGTTTCAGTAAGACCAATAATTTGATTACCCTCATAAAATTCAGCAGTTCTCAAAATAAATAAAAATGGAAATAGTGTAAATCCTATTAGCATAATAAATATCCATAAATTGCCTGCCACTAAAGGGTAATTTAAAAATATACAGTAATGACATTGTTATTTCTTTTTGACTATATTCACTAAAGTTTCAATACAACTAACTAATGAAATGAATAATAATAATGCACAAACAACAAGAAATACCCATAATAATAGAAATATTTGGATCCATGACCAAGAGATCTTTGATTCCCACTTAAGTGTTATCAATAAAAGTTAAAGACAACACATAGTTTTTAAAAATTGTAATATCTATCAATAAATATTTAATTTACCAAAGCAGTGCTTGTTTTAGTTGGAGTCTTAATCTTTTAAACTAATTTCATGATTAAAAGTAATGATGAAACTGCTAACATCATTATGGTTATAAAATATATCTTAAATTCTTAAACTTCATAGTAAAACACTATGAATATCTAATAAAAAGTATATTAATATACTTTAAAAAAGAATAAAAACATTGTTTCTATTAGTTACCAAATACAATCATCACCTTTTCTATAATTATAATATATCAGAATAAATATTGTTATTAAGTCTTATATCCACAATTATAATAATACGTAACGATGACTGTATTTCCAATGCATATAAGTTAAATAATTCACAAAAAATACTTATAAGAACAAATTGAAAAGAAGAGATTTTATCATTTAAGCATGACAAGAAATAGTCTAATTTATATATTTAATACCTTATCATCACTAAGTGTAATAATGCTGTTTGAATAATCTTGTTCTCTATTTTATACTTATCTTGATTATCTATTTTCATTTTTAAATTCTATACAATTCCCTGAAAAGAGGTAGATTTTAACTAAATGTTGGAGATAAAAAATTTCGTCTTTGAGTTGATGCTTATTAATCATCTTCTATTTGTATTTACGAAGGTCTCATCCTAACTGATCCTAATTATGATTCAGGCATTTAACTAACATTCAAAATATTTTTACATCATAGTTATTTATTTATATACTATATTTAACAATATAAATTCAAATTACTAAATTTATTACTCATTCTCATACTTAAACTTAATATTCATTATATTACTATTTTTTGTTTAACATTTACTTTCAATATTCATAAATTTACAATTTTAATTGCTTTATTATTTAAATTTCTACAACACTCTTCATTCATTAAACGTTTGATTATACCATCAAATTTTTATTTAGGCTGGTTTTATAGATTAAAATATTAATTTACCTTTTTTTTGTCTAAAGAATCTTTTATTTTATTTATCTTAATAAATATCTTTTAAATGTTAATTTTTTCTATTTTAATTCTCTATATAGCATTTATATTTCTATATCTATATTCACGCTACATATATCAAACACTTCTTTAAATTTAAAATCCTATCTCTCTACATTTCTAAATTTACACTAATAATTAATAAACTGTTTTGGCTTTATATTTTCAATTTTACAGAAAATCAAAATCAATTTATTTCATAAATTTTTTAAGCTTAAATGCTCTTCAAAAAATTCTTATTTTAATTTTCTGATTTTAAATCTAATTATTATTTTATTAAATTGAAAATAAGATCCATTATGCACACAATAATTTTGTAAATTTAAGTAGATAAATTTATGAAATTCTCTTAATTCACTTTTTTCAATTAATTCTTCTTTTTGATATTTGCCATTTTTTGATAAAATTCTTCGAATAACTAATGATGATGAATTAATTGTAGATTATTA